CCAACGACCAACAAGGAGGTACCGGTTGGGGTCGCGGTGCGAAATCTGGACGTGGGGGCAAGTCGGGTGCTGGTGGCAAAATGAAAGGGAATTGCTGGTATTGTGAGAAGGAAGGGCACCCCTGGTTTTTGTGCTATAAGAAACCCGATGGATGGACCCCCCAGAATCGTCACCAGGATGGCGGCGCGCGGAGGAACCAGAAAAACGGTGCCAACATGGTCGCTGATTCGTCCGACAACAACCCGAAGGGCAACGGCGGTGCGGAGAAGAAGAAGGAGCGCACCGCGGGCCAATTCTTCCATGTGGGAGACAAGGGGGAGCAAGGAGACGCATCTGCTAAGGTTGGAGCAGAGCTGCACCCCCTGGACTATTGGGTGTTGGACACAGGCGCTGCTTGGACGATGACGCCGCGCAAGGACCTGCTGGACGACGTACGCGCTGCACCGATTAACGAGGTGTGCTCTGCCTCTGGACACATGTTGAAGGTGGCTGGTGCGGGACGAGCTGCGTTTAAGGGAGCGGATGGCAAGCCGGTGGTGCTGCACGACGTTCTCCTCGTCCCTGACCTGAAGGCAAACCTTATCTCCCTCCGTAAGCTTGGCAAGGCTGGGGTGAACACCAACACGGATGGGGCACGCACTTATAAGGGGAAGCTGGGCAATCGGGTGCTTTGGGATCTGCACGTGTACAGATCTATGTGGCAGCTGCCGACGCTCGCGTGGCACGGTGGGGGGCAGGCTGGAGAAGGGTCTGCATCCCAGGGGGAGTGCAACGCCGTTGGAGGGGTTGGTGTGAAAGTGTCGGCCAGATCTGGGGAGACGGATTGGGCAACGGCACACCGACGTTTGGGGCATGTGGCAATGCCTTTGCTGAAGCAGCTGGAGAAGGATGGAGCCGTTAAGGGCTTGAAGCTGAACGGACAACCACCCGATGATAACTGTGAAATTTGCCTCCTTTCAAAGTTCACCCGTTTCCCCTTCCATAGTGTGGCTGGCAGGAGCAAGAAGCCGTTGGAGCTGGTCCACATGGACTTGGTGGGGCCGCTGCTGGTGCAAGGGCACAAGGGGGAGCGGTATTTCCTAACCATAGTGGATGACTGGAGCAGGCTAATGTGGGCGTATCCGCTGAAGCAGAAAGATCACGCCGCCTCCACGATTCGGGATGATTGGCTGCCGTTCGTGGAGAAGCAAGCGGAGTGTGTGGTGAAGCGGATTAGGACAGACCGGGGTGGTGAGTTCCTTGGAGCTGAGATGACGGCTTGGCTCAAGAAGCAGGGCATCCAGAGGGAGCTGACCACGGCTTACACCCCACAGTCGAACGGCGTAGCAGAACGGGCGAACCGGACAATCCTGGAGACAGCTAGGGCGCTGCTCATAGAATCTGGGCTGAGCAACTCGATGTGGCCCCATGCTGTTCGGCACGCTACCGTGGCTAGGAACAGGGTACTCACCAAGGTTGGGGATGACTCGTGGGTGCCGTTGGAGAGGTGGCTTGGGAGGAAGCCGCCGGTGGACATGCTGAGGGTGTTTGGCTGCATGGCAGTCGCCCATGTCCCCAAGACCTACCGTAGTAAGTTGGGGGCGAGTGCAATCTGGTGTGTGCATTTGGGGCTGGCTGCTGAGAGCAAGGGATGGTTGCTGTGGGAACCACGCAAGGGTGTGTTGTTTGACAGCAGGGATGTGAAGTTTGTTGAGGGCCTGATGTATGGGGGCTGGAAGCAACAGCCAGAGGCCAAGATATCACAGGAGATGGAGCAGATCACCATGCAGCTGGACCTGACTCCTAGTGTGCAGGAGGAGGGAGAGGAGGTAGCTGCAGAGGGTGGTGATGGAGAGAAGGTGCAGGAGGCACGTGCTAATGGAGGAGGTGATGTGGAGACTAGTGGTAGCATCAGGGAAGCTGCTGAATCTGAGGGAGGAGAGCAGCAGCAAGGCAAAGCTAAGGTGCCTAAGCTACCACAAAGGAGGAAGCCAAAGGGTGTTGTGATGAAGGGATGGGAGACACCCGTCTCTAGGCCAGGACGTACCCGCATGGCAACGATGAAGCTGACTGCAGGAGCTGATGCAGCAGAGCAGCAGCTAGGGACCGAGGAGGCATTGCTGATTCTACCGCATGGCTATGACCCGGATGAGGAGGATGAACCTGCCTACTGTTTTCTTGCCCCTGCACCAGAGGAACCAGCTAGCATGGAGGAGGCATTAGCTGGACCAGATAGGGACAAGTGGCTGGCTTCTAGGGATGCTGAGTACCAGAGCCTGCTGGAAAATGGGACTTGGGAACTAGTGGTGCTGCCTGAGGGAAAGAAAGCAGTACAATGCAAGTGGGTGCTGAGGATCAAGACCGACGACAAGGGGCAGGTCACCATCTACAAGAGTAGGTTGGTGGCTAAGGGGTTTATGCAGAAGGAGAAGCGGGACTTCAATGAGATCTTTGCTCCCACTGCCAAACCCCCTACCCTCCGTGTCTTGTTGGCAGATGCAGCCGTTAGTGGGAAATTCATCATTCAGATGGATATATCAACGGCATTCCTCAATGGGATTTTAGAGGAGGAGGTGTTCATGACGCAGCCGCCTGGGTATGAGGATGGTACGGGCAGGGTGTGCAAACTGAAAAAGTCCATCTACGGCTTGAAGCAGGCGCCACGCTGCTGGTACCAGAAGTTGGCAGCTGTTTTAGAGGAGATGGGATTCAGGACCAGCAGCTGCGATGAGAGCCTCTTTCTCAAGGGCGAGGGGGAGAAGCTGGTGCTGTTTCTAGTCTATGTGGACGACATTCTTCTCTTCAGCAGCAGCATGAAGGAGATCCAGAAGGTGCAGCAGCAGCTGATGGAGAACTTCAAGTGCAAGAACCTTGGGGAGGTAAAGTACTACCTCGGGATGCACGTGGAGAGGGACCCAGACCACAGGTGGTTAAAGCTGCACCAGGAGAAGTTCATCAAGGAGCTGGGGGAGAAGTATGGGATTGAGAATAAGCGCAAGGTTGCAACTCCCCTGCCAGCTGAGTTCAAGCTTGTGAAGGCTGCAGAGGATGAAGGGGTTGAAGCCGAGGAGCAGCAGCAATTTCAGTCCTTGGTGGGCAGCCTCTTGTATGCAGCGGTTCACACGAGGCCCGACATTTCTTTCTCGGTTGGGCAGCTGGCTAGGGTGGTGCAGAATCCATCTGAGGAGCAGGTGGATGCAGCTGAACGTGTGGTGAAGTATCTGAACTCTCACCCAAGCATTGGAGTCCAATACTCCGCATCTGCACAGGTGAAGCAGAAAGGGGTTGTGGTTCTAAAAGAGAAGGGGGAGCGGCTTGGAGAAGGCAAGCTCTTTCTTACTTGCATAACTGATGCTACGTGGGCTTCTGAGAAGGAGGATTCCTCATTTGTGGGAGGATACATCTGCGTAGTTGGGGGTGGACCTGTTAGTTGGAGGTCCAAGAAGCAGATGGAGGGAGATGACACTCTCTTCCGTGGAATCAGAGTACATGGCAATGTTCCATGGGGTGAAGGAGGTGATTTGGCTGAGGAGGCTGTTAGAGGAGATTGGCCAGGAGCAGAAGGTTGCTACGCCGCTGTTTTGTGATAGCAAGGGGGCTCTTGGGATGGCCAGGAACGCTGTGCTTCATGGGCTGAATAAGCACATGCGTATCAAGTGGCACTGGCTGCGTAAGGAGGTGAAGAGGGGGACAGTGAATCCGATCTACATCAAGACTCACCAGCAGCCAGCGGACTTTCTCACAAAGAGGCTTGCGGATGAGCCTCATTGACGTTGTGTGCGCATGAGTGGAATGAGCATGAACTAGCATGGAATGATGGGGATGCAGCCGGCAGGCTGAGGGGGAGTGTGTTGGGTGCAAATTCATGTCAAACATTGTATGTTTATATTGTGTAGGCTGTAGTGGGTTACACCTTAGGGGGTACTCAAACTAGGGTTTCATATTTGTACCAAAGTTCCTGTTAGTTCATTCATTCCTGCTCAGTCATTCTGACATGGTTTCAGAGCAGGTCCTGCGCTAGGACCTAATTTTTCTTCGGGCCCACCGCTACTTACTCTCTACTAGCGCCCTCGTGCGCCCTACTGTCGGAGCGCGCCTTAGCGCCTCCCCCTAGCGCCCTCGCGCGCTTCTCCTTTCTTTTTTTTTCGGCCCCGCTGGCCCCGTCGACTGCGCGCGCGCCCCGCCTAGAGGCCCCGCCGGCCCCGTCGACCCCGCTCGTGACCCGTCCAGAGGCCCCGCCGGCCCCGTCGATCCCGCTCGCGCCCCGCCTAGCGCCCCCGCCGGCCCGTCGACCCCGCTTGCGCCCCGCCTAGACGCCCCGCCGGCCCCGTCGACCTACCTCGCGACCCGCCTAGAGGCCTCGCCGGCCCCGTAGTCCCCGCTTGCGACCCGCCTAGAGGCCCCGCGACCCCGTCAACCCCGTGCGCAGCCCGCCTAGAGGCCCCGCCGGCCCCGTCGCTACTACTGCTACTGCTACTGCTGCTGCTGCTGCTGCTGCTGCTGCTGCTGCTGCTGCTGCTGCTGCTGCTGCTGCTGCTGCTGCTGCTGCTACCGCTACTGCTGCTACTGCTACTGCTGCTGCTACTATGGCTAGTCCTCCTGTACTCGCTTTCGATGCTGAGGGCCGTCCAGTGAAGTTTGACACCTGGCTAGATGACCTGCACCTCTTCCTACAGCTCACTGCCAAGGAGGACATCTCACTGTACGATCACGCCCTAGGCCATGCTACTGCCCCTGATACTTCTGCTGACAGCACTGCCCGCTCACAGTGGCAGACTCGTGACGCCCACGCTCGCTTTGCTATTCGCAACTCCCTACCGATAGATGAGCGCGAGCACTTTGGCCAGCACAAGACTGCTAAGGAACTGTACACTGCTGTAGTTGCTCGCTACTCCTCACCTGCTTCTGCCGCACTAGGCCGCCTCTCACTCCCCTACCTGTTCCCCGACCTGGCCTCCTTTCACACAGTTGCTGACCTCATCACCCACCTCAAGACTAGTGAGGCCCGCTTCCGCGCTGCTATGCCCGATGAGTTCCTTGCTAGGAACCCCCCCCCGCTCTGGCTCACTCTCTACCACATCGTCACCCGCCTCCCTGACTCTCTGCGCGCAGTCAGGGATCACTTCCTAGCTCGCTGCCCCACTGAGCTCACCATTGCCCTCCTCGAGAAGGAACTACTTGCAGCTGAGGCGAGCATCGTCGCTGTAGGTGCCTCTCGTGGCGACCCCCGCACCCCTTTCTTTGAGGGGTGTTCCCCTTCCCCCCTTCTCCCCTCTGTAGCCTCTGCTTCTGCTGTCGACCTCCTTGGTGCTGAGAAGGTCGGGACGGCGTCTGCTCCGAGCGGGCGCCGCAGGAGCAAGGGGGGCAAGGGTGGAGGTGGCGGCGGGGGAGGCGGGGGTGGAGGCGGTGGGAGTGGAGGTGGGGCTGGAGAGGCTAGTGGCGGCAGTGGGGGTGGTGACGGCAGCGGCGGGGGCGGTGGCAGGGGCGGGGGCGGCAGCGGGGGCGGAGGTGGTCGTGGCAGCGGCAGGGGAGGGGGTGGTCGAGGAGGTGGCGGCGGCGGTGGTGGTCGTGGAGGCGCTGGCGGTGGTCCGAGCCAGCAGCACACTCCGTCGCTCCAGGAGGCCCGTGAGTGGTATTCACAACGCAGGGGGGTGGGTGGCTTGAACTGCACGTACGTCATCCGCACTGGTGACCGCAACGGTCAGCCGTGTGGGAGGCCGCACCCCACGCAGCGCTGTTTCTCGCGCCTTGACGACGCTTGGCGCACCCAGTTCCCTGATGCCACTGAGCTGCCCCGCTGGGCTGATCTGGAGAGGAAGGGAGTTGATATCTGGGCTCTAGACTTTGATGCTATTATCACTGCAATGCATGCGATGTTTACTAGTGGAGAGGGTGCTCAGTACCTGCGTGTTCCGCCCGATCCGGGCATACTGACCAGTGAGGCTGCCGCTCTAGGTGCTAGTGAGACTGCCACTGCAGGTACTCGCGTGTCTGCTACCTCAGGTGATGGTGAGGCTGCCGCTCTAGGTGCTAGTGAGTCTGTCCCCCCTGGTACTGAGTCGACTGAGGCACTGCACACCTTCACCCTGGACTCAGGTGCTTCTCGCTGTTTCTTTCGTGACCGCACTGCCCTTGAGCCGCTTGCTCGGCCAGTTGCTGTCTCCCTCGCTGACCCCTCTGGGGGTCCGGTCATTGCGACCTCCTCCACTGTTCTTCCCTGTCTTGCAGTCCCGTCGGGCACACTGTCAGGTCTCCACCTCGTTCTCTACGAACTTGGTGGCGGGTTGTGCGCTCCAGGACGCGGGTGTTCACCAGTTCACCCCTGCCTACGAGCGCGTGACACACTGCACGTGTGCTCGGACGGGCCGTCACCTGGCTACCTTCACTTGGCAGCCGGGGTCGGACCTGTACACACTGACCACTGAGTCCCCTCAGGTAGCTGCGTCTGCGTCTGCGTCAGGTCAGCTGTCGGCCCCCTGCTCGTGTCGCACTCTGGCGCACGAGACCGTCCTCTGGCACCACCGACTTGGTCACCCGTCTGTGCAGCGCCTTCGTGCCATGCACAAACGGTACCTTGTCTCTGGTCTTCCCAGGGTTCTCCCTCCCCTCCCACCCTCGCCTGCTCCTCCCTGTCTTCCCTGTGTCGAGGGGCGGCAGCGCGCCGCTCCTCACTCCTCCTTTCCCCCGACGACTGCTCCCTTGCAGACGCTCCACCTGGACGTGTGGGGCCCAGCTCGCGTCCGTGGACAGGGTCAGGAGAGGTACTTCCTGATTGTTGTTGACGACTACTCGCGCTACACCACGGTCTTCCCCTTGCGCACCAAGGGTGAGGTCCCTGATGTCTTGATCCCTTGGATCCGCAGAGCTCGTCTCCAGCTCAGCGAGCGTTTCCGCTCGGACTTTCCTGTCCTGCGTTTGCACTCTGACAGAGGTGGTGAGTTCTCCTCCGACCTCCTGGCAGCCTACTGTGCGGAGCACGGCATTGAGCAGTCGTTCACGCTTCCGGCCTCTCCACAACAGAATGGGGTTGCTGAGCGCCGCATTGGCTTGGTCATGGAGGTCGCTCGTACCTCCCTGATCCATGCGGTTGCTCCCCATTTTCTGTGGCCGTTTGTGGTCCGATACGCTGCGCATCAGCTCAACCTCTGGCCCCGTGTCTCCTTGCCGGAGACTTCCCCGACACTGCATTGGACGGGAGAGGTTGGCGATGCGTCGCGTTTTCGGGTCTGGGGATCCCGAGCTTTTGTTCGCGATACGTCCGCGGACAAGCTCTCCTCTCGCGCTGTTCCTTGTGTCTTCCTTGGCTTTGTCCCGGACGCGCCTGGTTGGCAGTTTTACCACGTCACCTCGCGCCGGGTTCTGCCTTCTCAGGACGTCACTTTTGACGAGTCCGTCCCCTACTACCGCCTCTTCCCCTACCGCACTGCCCCGCTCCCCCCCCCGCCTCTCTTCCTCGCGCCAGGTGCTGCTGTGGTAGACCCCCTCCCCCCTCAGGGTGCCGCTCCCTCAGGTGTGTCCCAGGTAGACCCGGTTGAGCCTGTCGAGGTAGCTGTCGACTCTCGTCCTACTAGGGGTGCTGAGCCTGAGCGTGAGGAGCCTGGCGGTGCTGAGTCTGGGGGTGCGGAGCCTGGGGGTGCTGAGCCTGGGGGTGCGGAGCCTGGGGGTGCTGAGCCTGGAGGTGCGGAGCCTGGGGGTGCTGAGCCTGGGGGTGCTGAGTCTGGGGGTGCTGAGCCTAGGGGTACTGAGCCTGGGAGTGCTACACCTGGAGGAGCCCTCTCCTCACAGCAGCTGCAGGAGAGGTACCTACAGTACTGCAGCCTCAGGAGAGGTGCTGCTGGAGCTGGTACCAGTGCTTCCCCTCCTACCCGGGAGCTCCCCTCCCTTCAGCAGATCCGAGAGTGGTACACGCGGCGCTGCAGTCTTCGGAGTGGCGCTCCTGGTGTTGCGGACCCTGGTACTGCAGGTGCTGCTAGTGCTGAGGACCCGGACGTTGGAGCTGCTCCTGGTGCTGAGGACCCGGACGTTGGAGCTGCTGCTGGTGCTGAGGACCCGGGCGGTGGAGCTGCTGCTGGTGCTGAGGACCCGGGCGGTGGAGCTGCTGCTGGTGCTGAGGACCCGGACGGTGGAGCTGCTGCTGGTGCTGAGGACCCGGACGTTGGAGCTGCTGCTGGTGCTGAGGACCCGGGCGGTGGAGCTGCTGCTGGTGCTGAGGACCCGGGCGGTGGAGCTGCTGCTGGTGCTGAGGACCCGGGCGTTGGAGCTGCTACTGGTGCTGAGGACCCTGGCGGTGGAGCTGCTGCTGGTACTGAGGACCCGGACGCTGGTGTCTCAGCTGGTTCTGGAGACGCTGTGCGGCCGCGACCGTACTTCGTACCGCTCCTTCAGAAGGTACTTGGTCACACTCCTCCTCCTTGTCCTCCTTCCTCCGTAGAGTGTCCTCCGCCTGTCTAGTCGCAGTCACAGTTACCGCCTGCCTCGCCTCTCCCTGGTCCCTCTCCTTACACTGGTCCCACAGGGGGTCTTACGGAGCGTCGTGAGCCTGAGTCTCGTCCTGCGTCGCCTGTTCGTGCTGCTCGCACTGGTCGTCGTGTCCCACGTGAGCGTCCTCCCCCTGTCCCTGGCACTCGATTTCCCCTTATTCTCCTCTTGCGTCCTCTCTTCCTACTCCTCCTGACCCGGAGTCTGACTCCCGTCGTGCTGCCAGTCCCACTGTCACGCGTCTCCTCGCTACGGTTGACACTGACCCTGCCTTTGCGTCCTCTGCTGCGTCTGCTCTGGTCGCTGAGTTGGTTGACTTTGCTGCTCGGTGCCGTCTGGACTACGCCGCTAGCCTTGTTGCTGAGTCTGAGCCTGTCTGTCCTCCGTCCGTCGGGGGTGAGTGTGCTCTTGGCACGGACGTCCTTGAGGACAGACAGGAGGAGTTCCAGTGCTTTGCTGCTGCTTTGCCCCATCTCGTGTCCATGCTAGTTGCCCCTGAGGGAGACCCGGATGCACCAGACATCCCGACCCCACGCTCTTACGCTGAGGCGATGGCGGGTCCCTACTCCTCTCAGTGGCAGACAGCCATGGACGCAGAGATGGCTTCCTGGAAGTCCACAAGCACCTACGTCGACGAGGTTCCCCCACCTGGGGCGAACATCGTCAGTGGCATGTGGATTTTCAGGGTGAAGCGGCCGCCGGGTTCTCCTCCTGTCTTCAAGGCGCACTACGTTGCTCGAGGCTTCAGTCAGCGAGAGGGAGTAGACTTCTTCCAGACCTTCTCCCCCACCCCGAAGATGACCACTCTTCGGGTGCTGCTGCACATAGCCACTCAGCGCGACTACGAGCTTCACTCACTTGACTTCAGCACTGCTTTCTTGCAAGGCAGCCTGCACGAGGAGATCTGGCTGCGTCGCCCTCCTGGCTTCACTGGGTCGGTTCCTCCTGGTACCCAGTGGAGGCTCCAGCGGCCGGTCTACGGTCTCCGCCAGGCGCCACGTGAGTGGCACGACACACTGAGGACGACACTTGCGGCTCTTGGGTTCGCTCCCTCTACTGCTGACCCGTCGCTGTTTCTACGCACCGACACCTCGCTGCCGCCGTTCTACATCCTCGTGTACGTCGACGACTTGGTCTTTGCCACTGCTGACACTGCGGCACTCGCCCACGTGAAGTCGGAGCTGCAGAAGAGACACACGTGCACAGACCTGGGTGAACTGACAAGCTATCTTGGCTTGCGGATCACCCGGGACAGAGCATGGCGCACCATCACCTTGACTCAGTCACACATGGTGCAGCAGATCCTTCAGCGCTTCCGCTTCACGTACTCCTCGCCTCAGTCCACTCTTCTGCCTACCGGTCACTCGCTCTCAGCTCTGCCTTCGGATGAGTCCGTAGAGCCGAGTGGCCCGTATCCAGAGCTTGTGGGCTGCCTCATGTACCTGATGACCTGCACTCGACCTGACCTTGCATACCCTCTTAGCATCCTTGCACGCTATGTCGCTCCTGGCCGTCACAGGAAGGAGCACATGGATGCCGCTAAGAGGGTGTTGCGCTACTTGTGCAGTACATCGGGCATGGGGCTAGTGCTTGGAGGGCGAGACCGAGTTGTACTTACAGGACACTCAGACGCTTCTTGGGCGGACGACCAGGCTACTCAGCGGTCGTCTCAGGGTTACACCTTCAGTCTTGGCTCTGGCTCAGTTTCTTGGCGTTCTACATGCTCTTCTTCTGTTCTCAGCTCCAGTTGTGAGGCTGAGATCTACGCCACAGCCATGGCAGCCCAGGAGCTACGCTGGCTCACCTACCTGCTGACCGACTTAGGAGAGCGGCCTCGTTCTCCTCCAGTGCTGTACGTTGACAACAAGGCTGCCATTGCCTTGTGTGAGGAGCACAGACTGGAGCAGAGAACGAAGCATATCGCCCTGCGGTACTTCCTTGCTCGAGAGCTGCAGCAGCGCGGTCAGCTTCGTCTGCGTTACGTGGCCACTGAGGCCAACACTGCTGATGTGTTCACCAAGGCGCTTCAGCCTTGTGACCATCAGCGCTTCTGTACTCTTCTAGGCCTTGTGCCTGCTGGACCTCACTTGCTTACTTCTTGACTCTGTTTGTACTATGATCTCTATATATATACCTGCATGTTTACACTTGCTAGGTTGTGATCACTGTATCTCTTGCTATATTATCAAACTGCATGTGGACTGGTCTTGTGACCACTTGCTTGTGCTCAGAATTTGTGTGGTATCCTTGAGATCCACCCTGAGCTTGCTTTGCTTTGCTTTGACTGGTCTTGTGACCCTGTGGTTGTCTCCCACTGCGCCTATGGGGGTGTGTCAAACATTGTATGTTTATATTGTGTAGGCTGTAGTGGGTTACACCTTAGGGGGTACCCAAACAAGGGTTTCATATTTGTACCAAACTTCCTGTTAGTTCATTCATTCCTGCTCAGTCATTCTGACAATTCACATTGCACGACATCCTGCCGTCTGTTTGTACAAGTATGCGTGTGCAAATGCATTTGCGTGTGAATGGTGTGTTCGTGTGTTTGTTTGCTTTCGCAATTTTCGCTTGAAGCATTTGCAGGTACTCACGCAATGTGCGCTTCGGCACAACATTGTACGCGCTATGAACAGTGCAAGCAGAAAGGACGAGCTCGCAAAGGAACCCAAGATGGAAGCTTTGCAGTTCGGTTTAATTGATTGCGCAGATTCAGTTCTATCCAACCCGAAATTGTACTGTTTTGTTTGGTTGACTATAGTGTAGCAGGGCAGGCACTATAGGGGTACAATTTAGGTGAAGGTTGGATGTTGTTTGTCTGTATCTGCATGCTACAAGGCCAGGGAAAACCAGCAGAACCAGCATTTGGCTGGTTGGGCAAAGACAAAACAGGTTCTGTTTTTTGAACCTGAACCTGGTTGTTGTTTTCCCAGGTTGGAAAAACAGAACCAGAGGTTGTTTTACCAACCTACCACCTGCTATTTTGTCCAGCCAGGTTGGTTCTGTTGCTTGGAATTATTTGGGATCATCCCTGGTTGTTCCCAGGTTGATTCCCAAGGTCCTTGCTAGCTATAACTATTTATTCCTTCTCTGTTTGTACCTGAACATAGTCAATTGATTCAAGCGGATTCCTTTCTTGCTGGAATTTCGTGTCTACGCGGTTCGACAGCGGAATGCTACCCGAGTCAACGCTAGTGCGCTAGCACTCTAACGCTAGGCAAACGCTGTCCGAGCCATAACTTCGTAATGGCAGAACTTTTCGCAAGGCAACTTGGCTTATTTTAAAGCTCTTGGAGAGAGCTCCGTTTTAGCAAATTCTCAGCTTAATCCGATCGACAGTCTGCACGGCACGCTGCGCGACGTTCAAGGTACTCTTGCTGTTTTGACTAAGTCTCTCTTGATCCCTCTCTCTACAAACTCGGACCCGAGGATAGGGGCTGGTCTTGTACCTGGCACCCAGGGACCCTTGGAGGTGACCCCGAGGAGAGGTTTTAAGTTTGATTAAGTCCTAATAGCTTGAGTTTATTAGGCCCTTACACCAACATGGACGACCAGGCGTGGTTGCCCGGTAAACCGGGATACCCGGGCGACGTGTGCGAAGGTCGCCGAGGTGGTTTATGCGAGGATGGTCTCGGGGGTGGTATCCCGAGGTCGACGTGGCTGGTGGGCACAGTCGCTGGCGTGAACTCGATCTGGGCGTCTGCGCTGTGCACGTGATAAGAAGTGGTGCACCAACTAGCCGCACGCACCTGCGACGCAGGTGCACCGTTGTAATGCGGGTGCAACGCTGTGCAGCCGACTTGCTGCAGCGCTGGCACACCATGGAATTGCAACGTTGGCGAACCGCTTCTCTGCAATACTGGAGCAGTGCGAGCTCTGCTACGCTAGATCGCAGTCGACCATGCTTCGTTGAGGTTGTTCAGCAGCCTAGCTAGCCCTGATGTAGTCTGTGTTGTCAATGTTGTAATTATTACTGTTGTCAACATTTGCTAGTGAAACTCTTGCCAAAGTCTCTTCGTGATCGTGCACTTAGAGTGAACACAAGCAAACACCAAAGGAACACTACAATCACTCCTACCCCATGCCTGCCCCGTAGTCTAGCTCCCGTTGTAGCAGTTATCTCCGCAGTTAACACTGCGAAGTTTCAGATCTTGCAACCCGCTCATATTGCGATCCGCTTGTGCAGGCTTCAAGTCTCATTTCTGCTGGATGGGGATGCGCATAGTGTGAGACAGTTTGAAGTTGACTACCAGAGGGTGAACGAAAAACTGGTCAGGCTCTACTGGCAACAAACACACAATCCGGAGTTCATCAGGGAGAGATCTTCTAACCCGCTCGCGGTTGAGGTCATCTTCCAAAATGTCTCCACTTCGGTCACGCATAAAGCTCTGCAGCGAATGTTGGCTCATTACAAGCTGAAGTCCAGCCAGTAACCGATCTACATGGCCGGTCTCTGTTTCCAAAGAGTCATACACCCAATCACTGTGCGGATACTGATGTCATAAAGGGCTTGGTGGTGCCTCACGATGGGAAATCGTGCTGGCGTCACGTGATTAATGACCCTGCTGACCCGGAGAAGCGGATCCTGATCCATTACCCGATGCTGTTCTGCTTGTTTTGCGGGGGACAACATGAAGAGAAGCACCATGGCGCTTTTGTGACAGATCGGCAAATGGAACTTAACACTGGGCGTGTCCACAGAATCAATGTACTAGGACTATGTGCACTACTTAGCCATATGAGTGGTACTAAGAGAAAGAAGTGCGCTACTTAGCGATATCAGTTGTATTAAGAGTAGTTCGTTAATTAGCCATATGAGTGGTATAGGCTAAGAGTGAGTGCGTCATTTAGCCATATGAGTAGTACTTAGAGTACTTAGCAATATGAGTGGTACTGAAAAAAAGTGCGACACTTAACCATATGAGTGGTACTAGGAGTAAGTATGTTACTTAGCCATATGGGTGGTACTAAGAGTGAGTAATTATTTAGCCATCTGAGTGGTACTAAGAGTAAGTGTATTACTTAGCCATATGAGCAGTACAAGGAGTAAGTGCGTTATTTAGCAATATGGGTGGTACTAGGAGTATGTGCACTACTTAGCGATATCAATGGTACTAAGTGTAAGTTTGTTAATTCCCAATATGACCGGTACTAAGTGTATGCATTACTAAGCTATATGAGTGGTGCTAGGAATTAGTGCGTTACTTTGTCATATGGGTGGTACTAGGAGTATGCGCACTATTTAGCCATATGAGTGGTACTGAAGTAAGTGCAATAATTAGCGATAACAGTGGTACTAGTAGTAAATGCGTTACTTAGCCACATGAGAGGTACTAAGAGTGAGTGTGTTATTTAGCCATATGTTTGGAATAAGAGTAAGTGAGTTAGATAGCCATCTGAGTGGTACTAAGAGTAAGTGCGTTACTTAGCGATGCGAATGGTACTAAGACTGAGTGCATTACAAGGAGCACATGAGTGGTACTAAGATTGAGTGCACTCAGTCTTAGCACTGAGACTAAGACTGAGTGGTACTAAGATTGAGTACCATTCGCATGCACTCAGTCTAAGTGCGTTACTTAGCGATGCGAATGGTACTAAGACTGAGTGCATTACAAGGAGCACATGAGTGGTACTAAGATTGAGTGCACTCAGTCTTAGCACTTAGTACCCTAAACCCTAAACCCTAAGTGCGTTTTTTGCCATATGAGTGGTACTAAGATTAAGAGCGTCACTTAGCCATATGAATGGTACTTAGATTAAGTGCGTTGCTTAGCGATATGAATGTTACTAAGAGAACGTGCGTCACTTAGCCATAAGAGAGGTACAAGGAGTAAGTGCGTTACTTTGCCATATGGGTGGTACTAGGAGTAAGTGCGTTACTTAGCCATATGGGTGGTACTAAGAGTATGTACGTTATTCAGCCATATGAGTGGTACTAAGTGTAAGTGCGTTACATAGCCATATGAGTGGTACTAGGAGTAAGTGCGTTATTTCGCAATATGAGTGGTACTATGTAAAAGTGGGTTACTTAGTCATATGAATGGTACCAAGAGTACGTGCGTTACTTACCCATATGGTTGTACTAAGAGTAAGTGCGTTACTTAGCCATATGAGTGGTACTAAGAGTAAGTGTGTTACTTAGCAATATGAGTGGTACTAAGAGCAGCAATATGAGTGGTACTAAGAGAAAGTTTGTCACTTACCATATGAGTGGTACTAGGAGTCAGTGCGTTACTTAGCCATGTAAGTGGTACTAAGAGTAAGTGAGTTTTTTGCCATATGAATGTTACTAAGAGAACGTGCGTCACTTAGCCATAAGAGAGGTACAAGGAGTAAGTGCGTTACTTTGCCATATGGGTGGTACTAGGAAGTGCGTTATTTAGCCATATGGTTGGTACCAAGAGTAAGTGCGTTACTTAGCCATATGAGTGATACTAGGAGTAAGTGCGTTATTTCGCGATATGATTGGTTCTATGTAAAAGTGGGTTACTTAGTCATATGAATGGTACCAAGAGTAAGTGCGTTACTTAGCCATATAAGTGGTACTAAGAGTAAGTGCGTTACTTAGCCATACGAGTGGTACTAAGAAAAATTGGGTTATTTAGGGAGTTGATTCGTAATAAGAGTAAGTGCATTAATTAGTTATATGAGTGGTACTAAAAGTAAGTGCGTTATTTTGCCATAAGAGTGGTACTAAGAGTAAGTGCGTTACTTAGCCATATGAGTGATACCCGTGTTACTTAGCCATATGAGTGGTGGTATATATAAGTGCGTTATTTAGCCATATGAGTGGTACTAAGAGTAAATGCGTTACTTAGCCATATGACTGGGACTAGGAGTAAGTGCGTCTCTTTGCCATATGGGTGGTACTAAGAGTAAGTGCGTTACTAAGCCATATGAGTGGTACTAAGAGTAAGTGCACTACTTAGTTTGCTATATGAATGGTACTATCAGTATATGCGTTACTTGTCGATATGAGTGGTATTAAAAGTAAGTGCGTTACTTAGCGATATGGGTGGTACTAAGAAAAAGTGCGTCATTAAGCAATTTGAGTGGAACTAAGAGTAAGTTCGTTTTTTATAAATATGAGTGGTACTAGGAGTAA